AAATCGGGCGGATCTTTACCCGGAGTAGATCATAAACCTAAAAAGATTGAAGAGGCCCATTCAGGAACAAGAAAATGACATCGTGATTTGGATTGGATTTCGATGAAATAATACATCAATGAGAAGTTAATTCGATAAGTTTAGTGAATTCTTTTTTATATTATAAGGAAAGGAACAAAAACCCATCTTTATCGAAAAATAAAAGAAAAAGAAGCCCTTTCGGGAGAAGTGAAAAAGAACCTGCTATGAAAAAAGAAAAAGGACCGGAATCTACACATTGATTCGTTTTTTTCGCAATTTTTTTGAACCGTATGCGTCAAAAGGTGCATGTACGGTTCCTAAGGGATACAATTTTGCCCTACTCAACCGACTTTATCGAGAAAGATTACTTTTTTTAGGCCAAGAGGTTGATAGCGAGATCTCGAATCAACTTATTGGTCTTATGGTATATCTCAGTATCGAGGATGATACCAAAGATCTGTATTTGTTTATAAACTCTCCTGGCGGATGGGTAATACCCGGAATAGCTATTTTTGATACTATGCAATTTGTGCAACCAGATGTACATACAATATGCATGGGAATGGCTGCTTCAATGGGATCTTTTATCCTGGTCGGGGGAGAAATTACCAAACGTCTAGCATTCCCTCACGCTTGGCGCCAATGAGGTTTGTTTTTATTTGAGAGAAAAAAGAAGACTATGCCTTCGCCATATGAAATATGAATATTAAGTAATAATAGCATGGCACTTCGAATTCGATATGAGAAAATTTTTCTATTATTTTTTCAAAACATTAGATTATGTATCGAGAGAGTAGTATGAGATAAAGAGTATTTCTGATTTTATCTTATCTATCGGGAGTCCAGTTCAGCGTCACAAACTTTTTTGTTTTCACACCGGAAGGCTCTTAACAATACTTATGTTATGAAAGAGTGCGAAAATCAAAAAAAGAAGAGTCTTTTTTCCTTATTTTATTTGATCAGATCAAAAAGAAACTTTGGGATTGCTGAATCACAGACAAATCACAGACAAATCAAAGACAAAATAATAATAATAAATATATAAAGCAACGGAACCATCATAGTATTTTTTAACTTCTCCGAAAAAAAGGGTGGTAATTTGATCATTTACCGATCTAGATCTGATAGATCCGATTTTTTTATCTTTTTTCGATGGAGGGTAAGGGTCAATTCTATATTGTAAAGCCGTATGCAATGCGCAAAAGATGCCCGTACGGTTGTTCAATTCTATCTTTTTTTTTTCTTGTTATTCTTTATCTTTCTTTCTTTTCTCTGCGAGATAGAAGAACCTTTTATTATGTTATATCATCAGGGTAATGATCCATCAACCTGCGAGTGCTTATTATGAGGCACAAACGGGAGAATTTATCCTGGAAGCGGAAGAACTGCTGAAACTGCGCGAAACCCTCACAAGGGTTTATGTACAAAGAACGGGCAAACCCTTATGGGTTGTATCTGAAGACATGGAGAGGGATGTTTTTATGTCAGCAACAGAAGCCCAAGCTTATGGAATCGTTGATCTTGTAGCGGTTGAATGAAAATAGCACGGATTTCACACAAATCCGCGATTTAAGATTTGATTTTCTTGCCGGGTTTAATATTCTATTCAAAAGAAGTAATTCATAATCATCCGGTTAGGATCGATCTAAACCAGCCCATTATGTATATGATTCAACATGCCAACCATTAAACAACTTATTAGAAATACAAGACAGCCAATCAGAAATGTCACAAAATCCCCCGCTCTTCGGGGATGCCCTCAGCGTCGAGGAACATGTACTAGGGTGTATGTGCGACTCGTTCAGATCATGGGCTGGGACAAAGGAAAGAAAACCAATTTTCCAGTAACAACGATCAGTACCGATGAATAGGATAGACTGTAAGAACTCCATTCGCTATCTAAAAATAAAAAATCTATCGTATCCCTCTATTGTGTATGAAATTTATGGTTTCCGTTGGTGCAAATCCAATCACCTCTATTTTAAATGAAAAGCAATTCCCCATTGGTAACAAATGGTTATTCATTAAGCGGGGAAAATCCTATTTAAAATTTAAAAAACAGAAAGATTAGGTTCCCACTCTTGCAAGAACGGACTCACAGGGTCAGCTACCCCGCTAACTTTTATAATTAAATACCGTTACTGTATAGGTAGATCTCATTGTGAAAGACCTAGTACTGGATAATTCATGGGTAGAGCCAAAGAGTGTGAACTGTACAAGTTACCAATAACATTGATTAAATCAAGTAAGGGGCTCCGGTGTATAGAGAAGGCCTCACCGTTTAAGAAGTAACCATAGAAACGATGGAACCCACTATTTCTTTATCCATTTATATTTACTACTTTATTTATTTACTATATTTTTGATACCTAGGAGAATACAATTGATTATTTCTAGGTGAAATGCCTAGAAAAAATCGTGGTCGGGAAGGTTATAGTAGCCAAAGCCATTGGAATTTTTATTTTATACATTGGAAAAA